CACCTGCGCGGCAGGGATCTGTAAGCACAGACCCCGCAAACCCACCCACCTCCTCGCGATTCAAAGCAGATCACTCCACCCCCTACGTTACCTACCCTAAAACACCAACTCCCTCCATGATGGTCTTTCAGCAAACCCTGAGAAATACCCTACCTCTCGCTTGGCAGGGGCCAAGGGCCCTGCAAAGCCCTCCCAGCTCCTCGCAATTTAGGGCAATCCGCAGCCCGTCCGCATGCACTCCCCGATGAGATCTTCACTTCCCTCCATGACCAAAATCATACGGAGCAACGCTCCTCAGTCCCGCAAGAAAAGGATGATAGAAGAAACCCCAAGCACTCAGAAGGAAATGAACGCAACACAAAACATTTACGAACCTGCAGAAGTGCCCTACCACCTGCGCGGCAAGAGTCAAAGGACCCTGCAAACCCACCCACCTCCTCGCGAATCAGGGCAAACTGCTCCCCCAGTCAGCATCGACCCCCTAAAAACCCTGCCGCCCACCATGACAGGGTCTTCGTGAAGCGACACTCCCACGTTCATCTCACCACGTTACGACACAATCAACCAAAACACAAACCCAGCAATAGCTATCAAGTAGAACAGCAAGCAATTCGGTGTAATTCAGCAGAATTAAACAGAAAATGAAAAACAACTGTAAAACTAAGAAAGCAAACAGCTAGCAACGACGCCTAAAGCGGCGACCTACAACGTAGAAATTGAAAAATCCCAAGAAACTACCAAGGGCAAAACTAACGAATCTCACACCAAATTAGGAATAACAATTCCACAATCCGCCAAAACAACCAAGAACGTAAGACTCCAGTAATGAGAAACAAAAGACAAACACAAAGGTTTTCCTCTATCATGACGAGGAAAAAGCTTGCCAGCAGATGCATTCTCCGGAGAGAGAATCGTTGATTGAAGACAGAAGTGCTGAAAACCTCACTGGAAGCAACCCTATCGTGCCGAAGTCGCCCACGCTTTCACAATAGCGAGGGGGACTAAGACAAGAGTCGCAGCAGTCCATTTATGCGTCTTCCAACAAACAGCGGCTTCAGCTCCATCACGGGCTCTCAACGAGAATCGTTTTTCCAAGGAAAACAGCATCCCGCTGACTCCAGCCATGCTACGTATCTGAGACCAGGGGGCCAAAGCCCCTGTCTCTGAAACGGTGAAACGGTTTATTGTGCGTACATCCTTTTTTTTTTTTTTTTTTTTTTTTTTTTTTTTTAAGCCAAATGTGATGAATTCCGGATTTCATGGATTATTTCCTTTGAGAGCGCGGAGGACAAAGTCTACAATCATCCGCTTTGATCATGCCGCTAAGCATTTGATTCAAGCACTGGACAATGACTTTGAAGAGTTTGTCACATTTCTTCGATGCGGACACAATAATGATCATACCATCTGCTGAAGGTCATAATAATCTAAACAATCATACCACAGTCGGACCTTTTCTGTGCTGCAAAGAAACCACTACTTTATAAAGTTTATATTGTACTAAAAAAGCAACTCCTAGTAGGTCCTGCCAAAAGCATAACACTGGGTAATGCTCCCAGATCCAGTCTTTTTTTTTTTTTTTTTTAGTCAGGCCCTAGCTACTAGTGATAGTGATACGAGCACCCACTAGTAGCTTGGCCACTGGCTCCATTCTACTGGTGGGGAGCTGCACCTGCTGGAAACCGGGTGCAGTGTCCCTCATACATAGTTTAGTTGGAACATAATACAAAGTACTGCTGTGACAGAAAGAGAGCTACCTCTTCAGCATCAACATGCCACCATATTACTACTTTTTCCACTAGCAGCCCTTCCCTCAATCCCAACCCAATGAAACACAAAGATACTTTTACCTATTGATCCTGGACATAACCATCACTCTACCCCCCCCCCATACCACTGAAGATCCACCAATGCCAGGTCCGAAGGGGGAAAGGGATCTGGGAAAAATTCTGGAGCTCTCAAAATGGCGCCTGGCTGGATATCAAACCAATCGTGGAAGATGATCTTGTAATCCCTCTTGATTATTGCCCCATCCTCCTCCCCTCCTGGCCATACCACATTCCCCAGTTTCCCTCTTGGAGAATCCCTCAGCCAGTCCTTTGTGAAATTCTGTATTTTTTCCTTTATATCCTGTTTTTGGTGTAACATATTAATCCCTTCTTTAGCTCTTTCCCATTGATATCTAACCTCTATTTCCACCTGTTGTTGTACTAATTCAGACATTTCCTTACCATCAATTCTTACCTTTTCCATTGTGTAAACACATCTTCTATACCATTAACACCCATAGCGATGATTTCCTTCCTATGCTAAACAAATTTTGCTGAAAATTTGACAACTGAAAGAGGACAGGGCACCAGTGTCCCAAGATTATCGCCCTCCAATCCCATGGCCAATCAAGGTCCGTTAGCCTATTCCGAACATAATTCCAACGTCTCCACAATAGCTTTGCCCCCGGACATTGTAAAAAAAAATGTTCAATCGTTTCCCTTATTTTTCTGCTGGGAAAAGCCTCCATACATCCAACACACCATGGCAGAGCAACCCCCCTTTGCTCCAACGTGGAATGATCAATAAACCAGTCCTTAGTAGGCAGACACCGATGTGCAATTTGCCACTGAGCATAACTTTCTATTTTGGACCCGGTGATGTGAACCAGACGAGTGTCATTGTCTGCTTCTTCTTATAACCTTTCACACCGTTTGCTGGTGAAGAAGATTAACTCTGCAGTACGATATAGATTGTGGCCAGATAGGAACGAGGTATGGACCTTTTTTTTTTAGTTCGCGGTCATGCCTTTTGGTCTCCCTAGCGCCCCCTGCAAAAATCTTCTTCCAACGACTGATGAATGAGCTCTTTCGCAAGTGTTAATGGCCCCGGCATCTCAACCTCATATGTTTCAAGCATATGTAGTTGGAGGACAACTGAAAGCATATTTAAAAACAAAAACAAAAAAAAAAGCATATTTTACTAATTTTAGTAACTGTTTACCTCAATGGCATTCCGGTTTAAAGCAAGACGTTGGAGGACAACTGAAAGCATCTACGGTTGGTCTTACAAAAAACAGAAAGATTTTTTTTTTTTTTTTTTTTTTTTCCAAATGCCAAATGGCACACGCCCGTTCTATTCTGGAGGCCTCCAGAATCCCGTTGCTTATCACTGGCAAACATGTAACTGAAGAAAAGAGGGAGAGGCAGACGAGACGAGACAGAGGGTCAGCCTATCCCTTGTGGCACTAGTCGCCTAGCAAGCGGGGGACTGCTTCGGGGGGGCCCTCCCCCCATACCGTGGCCGGCTGGGCGGGAGGCTTACTGGCAGCAACCAGTCACACAGCAGGGCAGCCTTCAGAAAGGCGAGGCGCCGAGGGTGCGGTGCACCACTTTTTTTTTTTTTTTTTTAAATGGCGGAGCACCCACCCTAGCAGTCCCTCAGGGGGCTTGTCATCCTGTTCCTGACCTATTCCAACCCCTCGCTCATTATCTCTGCATCTCCTTCCTGGACCTGTATGTCCCAGCCCGTTCCATGCCGGTCATTTACATCCCCTGTAATTACCCTGAGTACACTCTGCAAACCCCGTGTAAAAGTTGAGTACCTCCGGCTGGATGTATCTGGTCTCAAGCTGAGTCCACATACATTCAGGGAATTTCAGGCTGTACCTCTGCTTTACACACCCCATATACCTGTGGTGAACCAATAGTTGATCTGGCATCCATCAATCCTTTTTTTTTTTTTTCTTCCCTTTTCCTTCTTTTTTGTTTTTAAAGGGCGACGGCCTTAGGACATATAACTGCCATTTCTTCAAAATGGACATTTTAAAGTTTTTGACCTTCTAGGCCTTTAGGCTAAACATAGATCAAGTGTAGTATCTGTTCTGATCAGTAACATTAGTTTAATAGATGATCCGCAGTCCATCGGACCACACGATATGATATTAATTTTTCTGGGCCACGGAGGGAAAAAAAAAAAGAAGAAACCAAGTTTTTTGGCCGGAAAAAAAAGAAAAAAAAAAGAAAAAAAAAAAAAGTTTTTTGGCCGAAAAATCTTCCAAACCGCATGGATTTATCTGGTCTCAAGCTAAGTCCACATGCATCCACGGGGTCCAGCGTTTTAAGAACGCCGGACACTCAGGAGCAGCGAATTTGGAAGAGTTGTCAGCCAAAAAAGTCAAAGAGGGCCAGGCTGTGACTGATTCTGATATAGAGAAAGACATACAGACAGACCGACAGACCGACACGTAGAACCAGACAGAAACAGAGACACACACACACACACACGCACACACACACACACAGAGAGAGNACAGAGAGAGAGAGAGAGAGAGAGAGAGAGAGAGACATAGAGAGAGAGAGAGAGAGAGAGAGAGAGAGAGAGAGAGAGAGAGAGAGAGAGGTGCACGGGCTGGATACTGCCTTGAGGTAGGTATGGCCTAATTCACCCTCTGTCTGTAAACCTTCTGTAACCTGTGCAGTTCTTTTCTTTTTTTTCCAGATTTTTCCGGATGTCAGTCCAGCGTGACGATTGGCATGTTATTGGTGTATCCATTCATATCGTCCTCATGCTATTGCTGTCTATGCCGGACAGTTCTCATTTTCTCATTTTTCACAGTCCAGACACAGACACAGATCCGGCCGGATGTCTGGACTGGTCCGGCGTCGAGTACAGAGCCTCAATAAAACCTCTTCTCTTCATTTGTTGTTCAGAATTTGAACTGGAAAAATTTCTGAAAAAAATCTCAATTGTTCAAATTCGAACGTAAAATAAATATTCCAAAGTGCGCGACACTAGCAAAGGTCAATAAATAAACAAGAAAGCAGAAAAAGTAAAAAAAAGATCATTTTTTATATTTTTCCAAAAACGGAGCTGCAAATAATTCCGACAGTTCAAACTTCAACCGCAAACACAAAAAAAAACTTGACAAAATGTTCGACACTGGCAAAACTGAATTAAACAGAAAAGCAAGAAATGCTAATGAAAATAAATATTAAATAGTAAATATTAAATACCCCTTATGATCTTTATCTAATACACAAAAAATAAAATCCGAGCCTCACTGCTTTGTTAATTTGACGTAATTATTCCTAGCAAGTTTTGATTTCATCCCTGGTTTTGGAATTACTATCTGCTTTTGCTCCTTGGTAATGCTTGAAGAAGTGCTCTTTTAACACCTCCTCCCTCGCTCCCGTGTGCGTGTGAATCATTTCGCCATTCCGGAAGAAGCGGAAGCACGGCACCGACTTGACACCCCACTCACGCATGAGGGCCTGCAAGCACCAAAGCAGAAGAAGATAAGGGTTCACAAGAGGGAGGGAGGGAGGGAGGGAGGGAGGGAGGGAGGGAGGGAGGAACAGGAAGGATGAGGGAAAGAGATGTGAGTTCTTAGCTGAGGGCAAGAAAGCAAGCCCAGGATGAGGAGAGGAAGAGACGAGGACTCAAGGAGGACAGGAGGAGGAGGAGAGGAGGAGGAGGGAAGGAGGAGGAGAGGAGGAGAGGAGGAGAGGAGGGGAGGAGGGGAAAACAGCACCACAGCCCAATATACAGAAGGTTATGAGCAAAATTCCTATTGGAGAAGCAAGAACTGATGGACACTATCCATCCAATAATAATAATAATAATAATAATAATAATAATAATAATAATATAATATAATAATAATAATAATAATTGTAACCAGTACTAATGACCTGTAAAATCACAGACTGACAGACCTGCTTTTTCCTTAGATTTGCCGCTAGACTGAGCGACTTGCTGGGATTCCCGTACTCTGCTGACATTTCTGAGTTTCCTTGTGTTCGCCCGACATTGCATGCTTGCTTGGGTGTGTGTGTGACCCCCCCCAGGGTGCTTGTGTGTGTGTGGGGGGTGGTTGGTATGGTGGTCTGCATCTTCATCTTCTTGGTTGGCGCTGCATCTGGAAAGGACCCAGTTGGGGTTGGTACCTACAGGAAAGACTGCGGGGTTAGCCCTACCGCCTTCACCCGAATAGAACGCCAGGTCATTATCGCACCGGGCGCTGTATTCGGGTGAAGACGGTAGGCTTGGCGGCCACAGTAGGGAGGGACACATTATAGCTTTGCGTTCTCCTTTGAACGTCAGAGCCTCACTCCGATAGTCCGCCATAGCCACCTGCTTGACCAAGGAGGAGGAAGGTGTATGAGATGATGGATGGCTATGGTGGACCTCTTCAGCAGCTGGCAGTAAGGGGAGAGGATTCAGACATTGGTTCTGGTTCATTCTTTCATCTTTATCAGTGTTATTATTATTATTATTATTATTATTATTATTATTATTATTATTATTGTTAAGAAGAAGTTGGGGGAGTAACTGGAGGTCGGAGATGGTGGCGAGATGAAGGGGGATTGACATTATTGTCAAAGACGGTGGCGAGCTGACAATATCAAAATAGGGCTTTTTTTTAAAAGTTTTTTTAAGTTTTTTTTTTCTCAATTTGTATGATTCCAATAATTCAAATAATGTGTGAAATTTGTGTGTTGGGAGAGGTGATTCGACCCATGCTCGCAAAATTGTCCCCATTGGCAGGAAGGAAAGACATCTGTCTGTTAAACTCTGTTTCCCTTCTCCTGTAAGTCACAGGTCAGTAGTCACACACACACACACACACACACACACACACACACACACACACACACACANNNNAGAGAGAGAGAGAGAGAGAGAGAGAGAGAGAGAGAGAGAGAGAGAGAGAGAGAGAGAGAGAGAAGTGGGCACAAGTATGCAGTATTATCCACAGACAAAGAAATCGACAGAAGGATGAACGGACAAACAGAGGGACACAGTCAACGTGACAGAAAAACAGACAGACATGGGCAGCCAAACGGGCAGAAACGGGCAGCCAAACGGACAGAAACGGACAGACAAACAAGCAGGCAAGATAAACGGCCAGATAAACGAACCGATGGATGATCAGTCCGAAAGAGGGACATGCAAACGGACAGCCAAATGGACAGCCAAACGGATAGACGGACGGGAAGACAAATCGGCAGGTAAACAGACAGACAAGTAGACAAACAGCCCAACAAAGGAATGCAGGACAGGAACACGCGGAGTAACCGACAACCGACAGACAACTAACAGAAAAATCAGACAGGAAAATCGGACAGAAAGATGTGACTCCGCATGTGTCCGCGAACGGACAGCCAAACGGATGGACAACGGACAGACAAACCGAAGGACAAGATCAGACAGGAAAATCAGACAGAAAAACAGCGCCCACTTCTCGCTGTACGGTGAAGGCTTGGATCCCCTTGCCTGTTCCTCATCTGGCACCTCTCTCCTCGCTGACCCTCTCCATGTCTATCTTTCCTCCCTTTCTGTGCATTCCCTTTTCAGGCTGGGCCCAGGCCTAGTGCGTTCACGCGAACAGAACGCCCGATCATTATAGCTGCATCTGGACAGAAAACTGCCCCAAATACGGCTATAATGACCGGCCGTTATATTCGGGTGAAGACGGTAGAGTGTAGGAGTTGGGTAAGCTGTTTTGAATATGCAATTTTTTTCTGTGCACTGTATGAGTCCCTTCCCCTGCCTGTGGGTTGTGATAGGCTCAGTAAAAGCACAGCATATATAATTATAAAGTTTTTTTATTTTTATTTTTATTTTTAAAAGCTATATTCTTCTCTCAATTTCACCTCACACTACCTACCTACCACTACTCCTAATTGTAGAGGGGAGGCACAGGGATTGGTCCTGTTGGCATGGTCCCTGATGCTACCGGCTGTCCCCTAGCCGGTATCACCCACCTGCAGGTCGGGAGCAGCCCCCGCATGTTCTCTCGTGAACACGGTTCTGGCTGCTACGGGTTCCCCGTATGCCTATAATTACAAATTTTAAACCACCAGTACTTCCGAGAATGATCGCGCCAGCCAAAGAGCAGCGGTTAATGGAAGGGCGATTTTTTTTTTTTTTAACGGAGATCTTTCTTTATTTTTTATTAAAAGAAGGGCCCAGTGCCCAAGGCAAATTACATCAGCACAGTAGCCAACAACAAGGACAGCCGGGTTGTCCCACCCCACCGGGAGCTCGGAGACTGCCATGTTTCCCTGAAAAAAAGTTGGGGAAAAAAAAAAAACACCGGACTCGGAGAAAGATTCGGCGAACTCCGGAAAAAGCTAGTCCCAATAGGGTCTTTATAGTGCGCTTGAGTTTTCTTTTTTTTTTGGCCTGTTTGGGTTTTTGATGTTTGTATTATGACCCTGCATAGTTTGTTCGCAAAAGGTTCGACAACATTGCTTGTAGCTATGCGGCGAAAAACCCTGAATTTTGGGTCTTCCATTAACCGCTACCGTCATCCCCTGAATAGAACGCCCGGTCATTATCGCTGCATCTGGACTGGAAGTTGGGCAAAATGCAGCTATAATGACCGGGCGTTCTATTCGGGTGAAGACGGTAGTGTCGTGGCCGTTAACCTAGCAGCGAACTAGCTGCGCCTTTGGGAAGTACTGCTGGCTTAAGCTGGAAAAGGAAATCCCTATACGAAGTTTCAAAAAAAAAAAAAAAAAAAGCTGGAAAAGGAAATGCAGCCACGAATCACACAGTCAGGGGCAGAGCACAGACAGACTTCCTTTCAAAGCGTGCCCAACTTCTACACCCTACCGTCTTGACCCGAATACAACGCCCGGGTCAAAATAGCCGTATTTGGGGCAGTTTTCTGTCCAGATGCACTCATGATTGTGAGCGTTGGGTTCCGGGGGATTTTGGGGGTAAGTGTTTTCGTCAGCTCTGGTTTAGCACAGTTTCGTAGTGTTCTGTGATCTTTCTCTTTTTTTTCTCTTTTTCGTGTTTTTTTCTTTTTTTTTTCCTGAAGCCAAGTCCAACTAGAGTTATGGGTCTAGCTAGCTTTACCCATTCTTCTCCGGTTTTTCCTATCCCCTCAGGGTTGAGCCTATCCCCTTAGGGTTGAACCTATCCCCTAGCGCGGATGGAAGGGGCATAGTTAACCCCTCCATACCCCTACCAAGACCTACTCTGTGCATCATCCTTTTGCAAGGGGGGGGCATGCTAATCTTCTCTGTACCGTTCCAATCTTAACGGATGTCGTGTACTGCATGATATTCCGTCTTTGCTCGACGTGCATGTTGAGTCTCTGATTCTCTCCAGCCGACCATCTCTCTCAATTTGACCCTCTCTCATGTCTACTTCCTCAAGTCGAGTCTCTCTCGGGTTGAGTGCCTCAGGTTGACTTCATTAAATGTGGTCTCTCTCAGGTTCAACTCCTCCCGTTCAGTCTCTCTCAGGTTGAGTCCCTCCCCCTCCTCTACCCAGTGCAAGCTCTCTGCCCCCGTGCTTTTATTTTTGCTACACCTACCTTTTTTTTCTGAATACGACACGGGGTCATCATTTCTTTGTTCAAGTCAACTTCCATGTGCCAGGGGTGCCAGGGGTGCACTGCCAGGGGTGCCAGGGGTGCCAGGGGTCTCCCATCCGCAAAAAATCAGCCCTCAAACCCATCTCAGATTCGGAGGATAGTGGGTTGTAGAGTTCCCTCCTCTTTTTTTTTTTTCTTTTTTTTTTTTTTTGGACCATTTCTCGATTTATGCGTGTGCTCCTTGAGCCCTCAAACCCCTCCTTGCGCAAGGGGGCCATGCATGTTTTTTTTTTTTTTTTTTTTTTTTTCCAATTAAGCCCTTGTGAAAAGAAGTAGCTAGATAAGAGAATAAAAGTGCGGATCAGGGCATCGATCCGCAAAAGAAGTCTTTCAATCTTCCGAACCTCCTCATGAGCGTAGGGCAGGCGGCCCTAGCGAAACGCGTTGAGGTGTACCGCCTAGAGAGGTCTATCCTCTCGATTGAGAGTTGGCGCTGAACTTGTTTCCATGAACTCTCCGGATTTTGAAAGATACATGTTTCAAGTGTGGATGTGTGCTCAGTCTTCGGCTAGTTGTCGTTTCGGCTACTGTGTCATCACTGAAGTCTCAATCCCGCTAACAGTCTGTTTTGCCGCAGCTGTCTCCTCTCTCTCCCTCGCCCTTGTGCAAGCCCTCTATCCAATCTTCTCTCTCTGTATCGTTCCAATTTTAATGGATGTCCCGAAGGACGATGTTCCCTCCTCTTTTCTGATACTTACCCACCAGGTACTTTCTGCACACGGAACCCCGGGGCTAGGTCCCACTTGCACCGAATTAAGAGATACTGACCGTAGATAGCAAAGATCAACGGCCGAAATCTCCTAATCTGCGCAAGTGGGACCTTGCCCCCGTCTGTCATTCTCCCTAAGTCTCCTCTTAGGTCCTTCATGGCATCTATGGTCTTCTTTTTTTTTTTGGGAAGGCCCTTACGCAAGGCCTCTATCCTGGTGGTGGTAAGAGAACCACCGGGATTGAGGCTTGCCTGGCGGGCCGCTCCATCTATTGGTGGGGAGCAACACCTGCTGGAAACCGGGTCCAGCGTCCCTTAGATACATCTGTAAAAAGGCAGTGCATCTTAAAAGTGGCGCCTTTGCGCTGGAAATGAACGCAAAGTCACCTTCTTTTTGTTTTCAATTATTTAATTTAATTTAATTTAATTAATTTATTTTATTTTAATTAATTAATTTTATTTTATTTTAATAATTTTATTTCATTTTATTTTATTTTATTTTATTTTATTTTATTTTTATTTTATTTTTATTTTATTTTTATTTTATTTTATTTTCGATTGAAAGTTGTGCCCTCTCGTTTAGTTTCACCCGAACAGATAGAGAGAGAGAGAGAGAGAGAGAGAGAGAGAGAGAGAGAGGGGGAGAGAGCGAAAGAACAGAGCGAGAGAGAGAGAGAGAGAGAGAGAGAGAGAGAGAGAGAGAGAGAGAGAGAGAGAGAGAGGGTAGGAGGGAACAAGAGAGAGAGAGAGAGAGAGAATACTGGGCTAGGTTNGAGAGAGAGAGAGAGAGAGAGAGAGAGAGAGAGAGAGAGAGAGAGAGAGAGAGAGAGAGAGAGAGAGAGAGAGAGAGAGAGAGAGAGAGAATACTGGGCTAGGTTTTCTGATAGGTTTTCTTGTTTTCTTTTATCTTGACGTCCTCTTTTGCTTCGTTTGCTTTTTCTTTTGCTGATTAGAATTAATTGCAAGTGTCGTTAGCGATTAGGTTGGAATATAGATAGGTAGAAACATAGATGGTTACATAGATAGTTATATACATATACATATATATATATATATATATATATATACATATATATATATATATATATATATATAAATACACAGTGAGAGAGAGACAGAGAGATCGGTTGATTAGTTTTCTTAGGTGGTATTTCTGAGTTTACGGCTTGTTGTGAGCAGCGGTCCAGTTTTCGGGCTTGACCGGTGATGTCTCGCCCTAAATCAGGACCGCGCAAACTTTTGTAAGGGACGCCAGGCCCGATTCCTGGCACTGAAATATAAGGGACGCCGGGCCCGGTTCCCGGTTGTGTTTAAAAAAGCTAAAAAAAAACAAAAAAAAAGTTGCCCAAAACACAGCTGTAACGACCGCGCATTGTATCCGGGGGAAGACTGTAGCGTTCAGCACTTTGTGGTAAGATTGAGGCTACAGTCTTCCGCCGGAAGACTGTATCTGACACCAATTTCACGTCAGAAGTCAGTGAGTTAGCCAAAATTTTAAGGAGAGCTCAGCAGAAGTCAGAAGTCAGTGAGTTAGCCAAAATTTTAAGTATGCAAGCAAGACAGCTTGGTCTGCAGTGTCAGTGCCAGTTGCATCGGGCTCCTGATCAATGAGGCAATGTCCACTCCTATCCTCATGGCGTACACAGGAACCAAACGGATTCTGAAAAAATGGAAAAAAAATGAAAATCACCCTCAAAGTCTCAGACATCCAACCATGATAAGCAAGTCTCAGCCTCCAGCAATCATTCGGGTTTAAAATGCCTCTGGAGCTTGGAGGTAATCTCCGCAATACTTCTCCTCGAAGAATAAGTACTGCTTAGAGGTCCTCTCTGCAATTTGAAAACAGACACACACACACACACACACACACACACACACACACAGAGAGAGAGAGAGAGAGAGAGAGAGAGAGAGAGAGAGAGAGAGAGAGAGAGAG